ATCTGTGGTGGGTGCTAATGCCAAGGCACGGTGCGATGTTCGAGCGGAAGTGGTGGATTACACGGCTGCAATCGTTCACGTATCATTCAAAAGCCATATTGTTCCTGGGAAAGGGTTGATCCGTATTAAGTATCATTGAAAAAAAGTAACATGTCTTCATCTTCCGTGTCATGTAGTGTGGCGGACAGAAGGGTCTCACTGCAACACTACTAACAGTAAAAGAAGCCTAGAACAACTTTTTGTCACGGACAATGCTGTTGTTGTGGTGGTAACGAGGCTTAGCTCCGTGGCCTCGATTATGGAGTGTTGTCACGTGCCTTGCTCAGACACTCTTATTGGGTCGCGGAAGCTGCAGCCTCCACAATTCGCCAAGTTATCGTGAAACGGAGTATAGAGCTGCTCTATACAGCAGCCTTAGCTCCACAAAGTAACAACACGAGGACTAACTTACCCGACAAGTGAGAGACCTGCAGTCGCCTGCTCCACTTTCGGTATCGTCACCATTGCATTGCCGATGGCCCGTCTAGGAACCTCCAACGAGGGCACATAAAGGACAGTAGCCACCCTTCGGAAGCGCTAGTGTAGCTTTGAGGTATTTCCTCTTCTATTTGATGAAGGACGAGTCCCAGTTCATGCAGAATCGCTGGATCTCTGACAGGTAGGTCGGAAGCAGACGACTTGCTTTTCGTATAAGAGCTTGCCGATCTGTTTGTAAACACGAGTTGGTGTATGTAGGAACCGTTGAATATCTAATAATACAGAAACCTTGTTATGAAAGATTGATATCACCAGCCGACCTGCACTACTGCAGGCGTTGCACGGTCCAAGCAGCTCTCTACGACCAGGCTGCTGTTGTTGAGCGGCAGCGACCCCATGAACCTATGGATGGCGAAGTAGTAGGCCCAGGTCTGCTTCCCGGATCCCGAGGTGGTGCCTTCCCGTGCATGCTTCCTAAAAATTAAGGCAGCTGTAAGTGTCACATTCATGTAGTTCCGTAAATGTACATGCAACACTCACAAAACCTAATAAACATAAATCGCTTTGCAAACCACCTTCAGATTGAAGATTGGCACACACATGATGCTACCTGTTTTACATGGCTTGCATGTGACGTCATGGCATTGTGCAGGTGGCCAGTTCTACTTACTATTGCTGAAAAAAACAACCTCAGTGGGGTGGAACATATGCTGCAGAAGGGACACACATACCAGCTGCCACAACAGCAAGTGGTATGATGTCAGTGATAACCGTGTATATAGTGCCAGCACATAAAAATCAGCATGTTTTACTTTCTAATCGTATCGCAATGTCAGGTTAGGCCTTCTGTGGCATTGCCTGTTATTGCTTACAACATACAAATACGTATAAAATAGTTGAAGTCGAAGGGATTGATGGCTGTTCGAAGGAAACTCAAAAATCTGTTTCTGAACGTGTCGGACTAAGACTCTACCAAGGGGGTCGAAGCATGCGCTTTAAGGGCATACGGATCCCACTGCTTCTGGATGGAGTTTTGACGGCAACCTCTGGGCTGTGTGAAGCGCCTCAACGAGGAGGGGTAAAACCAAAACAAGCCACAACAAGAGTTGTCATCACTAAACCCGACTCTGAAAAATGCGGTACTCGGTGTCTTCACTGCTGTCGACGCTGAGAGCACTGCTGATATCTGTCGAGTCCGACTGTTGCGCCAATCAGACACCTTTGGGTCGCCGTGGGAAGGAATTTAATGTTTTTAATTTCTGACTGTTTACTCAAGTTTCTTCAGTGAATTTTTTTGTACCCTTGATGCATGTTCACCGCCACCTTTATGCAAAATTGTAGCTTGATACGTTTAGAAACCGATTTATGCCGTCCCTTCAAAAAGTCATCGATCCCTTTGACTCGCCCTGTAGATTTAAACGGATTTTGCTCCTAGGTGAGTTTAGCTCTTCAGTACCGATGTCTTATGTGGTTTGAGCCTCGGAGATCATGAAACATGGCAAGTCAGCTGTGAAGCTTTGAACATTGCTGCAGGCGAAGACGGCTACTCAAAACGCGTACGAGCTACGCAAAGGAGCGGTGGCCGAACACGGCACGCGAGACAAACACTGCAGGTAGGCGAGCCCTGTATTTGCGCGCCGTGCAAATTGAACGGTCGTCCCTATCGGCACTGTTTGGCGTGCGTGTGTTCGTAGGACTAGAAGGTTACACCAAACGTGTGAAGTTTTCCTTACCGATAAGTGCTGCACAGATTCTCGATCTTGTTGTGGACTTGGTCCCTCGTCGTTCGAAAGCCCAGGGCCCCCAACGCTTCCGCGATCTCGGCGTAAACGGCACCGTTTCTCTTGGCGCGACGGAGGTCCTCCAGCCGATCCTCCCAAAGCCGAATCAGCACCCAGGTCGCGTCGACGCTCCAATGGACGCGCGGCGACCCCTTCCTACTCGTCGACGCTCCTCCGTCGTTCGACATATCGCAAGACGCGAGAGATATAGAAATATATATGTACAAAACAAAGGTTAAATATATACAGTACAGTTAGTAATACACTATTAAAGGATGATAAAATATAAAGTAGAGAAATAAAAGCTAGATAACTATGGTTGTAAGAAAAATCGAAAGGGGGAAAACCGAAGTGCCGAAGCGAACGGTGCGAGCAGGCGAGCAGCGGGACGACTACGCCTACTAGATAGCTGGGGCCGTGGGTACAAAAAACTATTAGTAGAGCGAGGTCTGCACAGGTTATACGTCAAACACGCTCTTTTTTAATAAAAAAATTACAAAAATATTTATTTTAGAAATCAGTACGATCTTTATTTTCAATCCGCGTCTCTAGTGTAGACTGCTGCTGACGAGAGTAGGCCTTTAGCAGCCGTAAAGGAGTTGTGGGAACTCAGGTTCCCGAAAAGGACCTTTACGCTAAATGTCAATTGAGTTGCCGTGTGACACTGCCTAAATGACATTTACACTAAAGGTCCTTTGGCGTAAAGGTCCTTTTAGGTGCCCGTCTGGCAGGGGTATTATAGCCTCTATTATATGACTTCTGTTCACTTTAATTCTTTTACATGATTATTTTGTGCTAAAGAGATAAAATAGTTTAGCTTGTATGGCATTTCTTTAGGAAGCAAGTGATACTTTTTTGCATTATTTAATCTTTTTTTAAACCCATGCTCAAATTAGCTAATTAATATTTTATATTGTTGATAACTTTTGACAAAGAAATATCTGAAATCTGATTGCAGTTATGGAATCAGCATAGTAAACTGCATGCCTATGCAAACAATCACAGACAAACCAATAAACAAAAAATATTCTTGGATAACCCACTTCCTCCCAGTGTGATTTTATCACCATTTCACTAATTCTTTACTTTTTCATATTTTTTTTCTGATGTTCCCATGAATGGATTACGTCATTTTTTATGTCAAGTTGTTCAGGAAGACTTACACTACAACTTGATGGCAATTATTGTTTATCATTCTTCACACAATTTTCTATGTTCAATGTTAAAACTTTAACTTCGATTTTGTCATCTTCGTGTTTTTTGTCAACATGCTTAGCCTTACGGGGGTTTTCATGATGTTTTTATCGTAGCATTCTGGAAACTCTGATACCGTTTTATTCAGAAAGGACTGGACTACGGAGTAAAGCTATTTTTTTACAGTCTAGAGTTAAAAAAAAAAAAATTATGATAAATAATGTGACCTTAATAATGTCATAATTGGCATAATTAGCCAATTTTTATATAATAGTCATTTTGTGAAAATTTAAATAGCTTTGTAATGCATGGCAGACCTTTAGCTATGCATCTACATTAATTAAAAAAATAGTTTTTGTTGGAAATGGCCTTAACGACCCGTAAGAAATTACCAAATTAGGCAACGCTATTTTTTATAACTTGAGAACTACTTGAGATATTTTAAAACTGATTTCATACTTAAATTGAGGAACATGAAGCACATATGCAGTGATTTTCATTAAAACAGCTGCAAAAATAAAATAGTCAATTTTTTTGCCTTGAAGGGATGGTGAACCGAAATTCTGATTTAAAAAAAACAATGCTGGATATGTAGGCGGGACGCTACAATCCCTACAACACTACTAGTAAGGCGATATCTCAAATGGACGGCCGTATTTTCGGAAAAAGAAGTCAAGATTGAACCAGGCCGACGAGGTGCGTGACCGTCAAAATACCTAGTTTCCTCCTCTCTTCGCTTCGCTCCCCCAAGGCCGCCAGGCGGAAAAAACGCGAGGCCGTTCCCTCTTCTTCTCGGAGAAACATGACGTCAACATTCCTGCCAAATGCGCCTCCTTTTTTTAAAAATATGGTCTTCCGTTCGGGATATCGCTGTATGAGTGATGTTATGGTGTTTGTAGCATCCCGTTGCACGCTTTTGCCGCGTGTTTTGGGGAATCCAGATTTCGGTTAAGCATCCCTTTAAGGGGATGGCCTGAGCGGCCGACGGTAGTTGTTGCCCGGAGCGGTTGGCCAGAACTGTGCTGGAGCATCATGGTAATAAACCCTGCTCGACCCCAAGGAATGAGTCGTCTGGTTGATTACCTCCGGCGGACGGCGGAAGTCGAACGCCACACTCTATGGTTTTCAAACGTTCGCCCCCTTAAGAACAAGCTGCCCGACTCAAAGAACTGACGTCATTCTTTCGCGACACAATATTTGCTGTATGTGAGACATGGCTAGACGCCTCTGTCTTTGATGGGCAGCTAATCGATCTCACACAGTTCTCCCTGTTCCAGCAAAATCGTCGCTCAACAAGGGGCGGCGTCCTTCTTGCCGTACCAAAACACCTGCCTTGTCGTCGCCTCGACTACCTCACCCATTTTGAAAAACAGCGCGAATAACACATGGACAAGGAGAGAACACACAGGACGAGGCGCTGACTATCAACTATTTATTCAGAACACATACAGAGAAATGTTTTCTGAATAGATAGTTGAAAATCAGCGCCTCGTCCTGTGTGTTCTCTCCTTCTTGTTCATGAGTTATTCGCGCTGTTTTTTTTACTTCAATGGTCATATCAACTGGTCCGACCCCGAAACTCCCATACCATCCAATCTACTTGACGATGTGCTATTAGACATACTGGAAACAACCGGCCCCACCCAACTTTGCAATTCTCCGTCCTATACCTCTCGGAACGGGACCACAATTTTCCTTGACCTTGCCCTCACCAACAACCCCACCTTATCCCACCGCTGCACGGTCATCCCTAGTCTCCCAGGCTCCGATCATCAGGCCCTCCTCACCAACATCCACTGCACAGCTCCCAAGCAAGGCCACCAAGCCAGGAACTTTCTGCAGTTCGCAAAAACAGATTTCCCTCATCTCAACCAACTCATCCATCTCGCTCCTTGGTCCATAGTGTTTGATCACCAGTTGGCTGATGATGCCTACAACCTATGGCTCGACATGATGTCAGCTATTCAGCGCGAATGTGCTCCCGTCAGGGTCAATCGGAAGCGTGGCAACCTTCCGTGGATGACAAAGGAGATTGTGACCCTTGTAAGATGCAAAAACCGTCTATTCAACAAAGCGCGGAAAAATCAAAACCCTACTCATCTCAGTCAAGCCAGCCAAGCCCGCAAGGAAGTTGTAGTAAAGTACTACCGAATCGCCGGTGTGGCGATATGTTCTACTAAGAACTGAAGAGCCAGGACAGTAAACGTCTTTACTTCATGATGGCGGATGCCGAACCGCCGCTCGCGCGCTCGGCTCCAGACGTGTGTGTGTTGTCGTCGTCGTCTAGTCTCAGTTCCCATCATATCTTCCCCCTTAAAAAGAAGACTGGAAGGGCTGAACCTTTTTCCTTTCTCGAGTCGAGCGCCGTGGAAGTGGCACAGGAGTTGAGAGGGGCTGGTTCTGGTTTGTTGAGGGACTTTTAGATGAACTTGGGTTTGCGGGAATTGAATCAGTGGGATTCGGGCCCGGCAATGGGTCCAGCCCTCGTTCAGCTAGAGCTCCGTCGCAGGGAACCTTGCTCTCTGATGTAGGTGTGAGTGGCGCCTCTGGGTCAGTCCATTCCGGAAACCCAAGTGGGTCTTCTGTGTGCCGCTGGCGAACTTGGTCAAGATGGCGACGCACCAGGTCCGAATTGGTTTGTATTGTCACCATGCGTGAGCCTTCCGCGCTCTTGACGATTCCCGGCAGCCACTTTGGGCCCTTACCAAAGTTTCGGAAGAATATCTTTCTGCCCGGTTTAAAAAATAGCGGAGTGGGCTGACTCCCGCCCTGTGCAGTCAGCTCCGACCTCTTGTCCGGAAAGCACGTGTCCAAACGTGACCGGATCTGGTATCCCAAAAGTAACTGGGATGGAGACTTGCCCGAAGCCACAGGCGTACGCCGATGATTGAGAAGCAGTCGGCACAACTTGACGTCCAGTGTGGACCCGCTTGTCTTCTTCAAGGCATCCTTAACAGTACGTACGGCTCGTTCGGCGAGGCCGTTCAATTGTGGATGATAGGGGGCCGTGCGGTAGTGCTCCACGTGGTTCCCCTTTAGGAACTGAGAGAACTCTTCACTTGTAAATGGTGTACCATTATCCGTGACGACAGTCCGTGGGATTCCAAAACGGCTGAAAAGCTCCCGAAGCTGTCGGATTGTGGAATCCGACGTTGCATGATTGGTAGCTGTAGCTTCAATCCACTTCGAGTATGCGTCGATGACAATCAGGATCATCTTTCCGTCGACGGGCCCGGCATAATCCAAGTGTAACCTCGACCAGGGTTCACCGGTCACCGGCCAATCGACAAGTTTCTGCGCTGCTGGCATAGAAGCCGCTTGAATACATGTGTCACATCTCTGGGTGAGGTCTACGATAGCCGAGTCCAATGAGGGCCACCAGAACTTTGAGCGAGCAACCGTCTTCATGGCCGACGCACCTTGGTGGGTCTCGTGGAGGAGCTTAAGGACAGCTTCGCGAGCCTTTTTTGGAACAACGACTCGGTTTCCCCAGTAAAGCAAGCTGTGATGCACCGAAAGCTCGTCTTTCCTGCTCCAGAAAGGTCGAAGCACCTCTTGCTCCATCAATAGCTTCCGCGGCCATCCGCGCTGGATATAACTGATGACGCTACGCAACGTCTTGTCTTCCGCGGTCATCTGTGCCATCTGTTTCGCTGACACCAAGCCGTTATCCAGCTCCTCCAAGGAAGCAATTATTTCAGGAAGATCCTCCTCTTGTAGTTCCTGCGAATCCGCTTGAAGGGGAAGTCTACTCATGGCATCGGCATTGGCGTTGCTTGTCCCTGGCCGGTACTCGATGCGATAGCTGTATCCACCCAGGATGATGGCCCACCGTTGAATTCTAGCCGCAGCCATCGTCGGCACGGCCTTGTCATGATGAAAGAGACCAACCAAGGGCTTGTGATCTGTAACCAGAGTGAACTCCCTACCCAACAAGTAGTCCTTAAACTTCGTGACAGCGAACACCAATGCCAAGGCTTCTCGTTCCAGTTGGGAGTAGTTCTTCTCAGCACTCATCAGCGTCCGAGAACGAAAACCGACAGGCTTCACTTCGCTTCCACAACGGTGGGAAAGGACGGCGCCAATCCCATGTGGTGAAGCGTCACATTCAAGAAGCAAGGGCTTCGTTGGGTCATAGTGAGCTAACATGTTGGACTCACTCAGGATTGTTTTTGCTCGTTGAAACGCCCTGTCCATCTGTTCCCCAATGCCATTTTACTCCCTTTTGCAACAGTGTGTACAAGGGGGACAACAATGTTGCCATGTTTTGCACAAACCGGTTATAATAAGTTATGAGGCCCAGGAACGAGCGAAGCTCGCTGACGTTCGTTGGTGCTCGGGCATGCTGGAGGGCCTCCAGGTTCTTGCCGGTAGGATGCAGCCCTTTTGTGTCAATCCTGTGTCCGAGGTAGATAACTTCTGCTTTCCGGAAGCAACATTTCTCCTTGTTCAGTTTGACTCCGTTATCACGGAGAACTTGCAGTACCTGACGTAGCCTTTCACCGCTGTCCCCGTTCTTTTCCGCTACCAGGACATCATCCAGGTACACTTGAACTCCAGAAATGCCTTGTAACAAGGTCTCCAGTCTCCTCTGGAAGATTGAAGGGGCCGACGCAACACCAAAAGGTAGCCGGTTGTAGCAATATAGGCCCTTGTGCGTGTTGATCACCGTCAACTTCTTGGACTCCTCGTCTAATGGAATTTGGTTATTAGCTTCCCGAAGGTCCAGCGTACTGAAAAGGTCACCGCCATTCACTGATGCGAAAATGTCCTCAATCAGTGGTAACAGGTACTGCTCCGTTGGACAAGCCTTGTTCAAGGTGAGTTTAAAATCCCCGCAGAGCCTGATACAGCCGTTTTTCTTAACGACCGGCACAACTGGGGTTGCCCATTCAGAATGGGTAACAGGAGAGAGGATACCATTCTCCACCAGGCGGTCGATCTCGTCGGTAACCTTCTGTCGTAGCCCGTACGCCACAGGTCTGGCCTTCCAGAACTTTGGTGTCGCACCTGGGCTCACGTGCAAATGTATTTCCGGTCCTTTGATGAGACCCAAACCCGGTTGAAAAAGTTCTTGGTATTCTGCCAATACCTGATTCAAGTCTCCATGTTGCTCTGTCTTCAAGGACAACAGCTGAGTTGGAAGAAGGCAGAAGGCTCGAATCACGTCACGGCCAACCAGACTTGGTCCGTTACATCCCAAAACCGTTAACTCGGCTTTTCCTTGACGTCCTTCATAACTGACCGTCAAGCTCAACTTCCCGATGATTGGCACCCTACCGAGGTAGCATGACAGACTTAACGTGGTTTCTTGCAACCGAGGCCACCTTGCTTTGTTTTCTTCATATACCCTTTTTGGAATGACGCAGACCGGGGAGCCGGTGTCCAGTTCCATGAGTAGGTCAACAACCCCCCACGTGAACAACCGTCGGACCGGCGCAATTAGGTTCAACGTGTCCTCTCACTGCGGTCGTGGAAAAAGGCTGTCAATGCCACAGTCGTCATCAGATTCTGTTCCAGCAAAGGCGTTGGCCCCTGCACGCGACGTAGTCTCGCGTGAAGTGCAACGCTGGGCAACATGTCCAATCCTCCCACAGCGAAAACAAGTCTTCTTCCGAAACCCGCAGTCCTTAGGGAGGTGTGAAGTTCTCCCGCAATGGTAGCAGGCCTCCGATGCTATCACCTTCTCTTGGATCCTGCCAGGACTTCAGGTTTGAGAGGTCTTGCTCCCTCTCGCGGTTATCTTCTGGAGTTCTCCCTCTGGCTTCACCATTTGTGTGGCATCTTTTGTCGCTGCTTCTGCAGCAACTGCCATGTCCACCGCCAACTCCAGCGTCAGATCCCGGCGTGCCAAGAGAGTCTGCTGTAGCTTCTCGTTACGCAGCCCACACACTAGCCGGTCCCGTAGCATGCGGTTGAGCATCGACCCAAAGTTGCATTTATCCGCGATGCGCCGCAGCTCCACCAGGAAATCGTGAACGGTCTCATTTTCTCCTTGTCGGCGGCTGAAGAAACGGAAGCTCTCCGCTATCTCATTTGGCTTCGGCGTGAAGTAGTTATCAAGGTGCTTGACAGTTTCGTCGTAGCTCAGCTCGGATACTTGTAATGGCGCGCAACTTGCCGACAACACCCGAATAGCTTTGGTTCCTAACGCAGAGACTAGAAGCGCACGCTTCTGAGGCGCCGACGTGATCTTATTCCCCTCGAAGTAGGCTTCGACTCTAATGAAATAAGAGTCCCACCTGCCTGTAGCCTCGTTGAAGGTCGGAACGTTGTACGCCATCCTTGCTGAGATGACCGGTGGTGACCCGCCGATCAGGGGACCGTTTCCAGCGTGGGTGTCCGTGTTCCTCGTCGCCAATGTAGTAAAGTACTACCGAATCGCCGGTGTGGCGATATGTTAACTAAGAACTGAAGAGCCAGGACAGTAAACGTCTTTACTTCATGATAGCGGATGCCGAACCGCCGCTCGCGCGCTCGGCTCCAGACGAGTGTGTGTTGTCGTCGTCGTCTAGTCTCAGTTCCCATCAGAAGTCAAGCACCTAATTTGTGTCGCCCACAATACATACCTTCAGCAACTAGCAGCAAAAGTTACCAGACAGCCCAAACACTTCTGGCCTACTTTCACCACCAACGCAAAATGTCCCAAGCCCCCGACTTCACCCATAACGGCATACCCTGCTCCATACCTGAAGACATAGTCAACTCTTCTCCCACCACTTCTTTCTGGCCCCAACGTTAGTCAACCCTACAGCATTCGACCCCCTACCCGCTCAGCCCAAGATTCCCCCACCTCAAACCAAACAAGGAACAACCCTTTCCTCCATAGTCATTCTTCCCAGCGAAACCTACCAAGGCCTCGCCCGCGTCAATCCCTCCCAACGGCCCGGACCTGATGGTCTTCATCCGGTGCTACTCAAAGCCTGTACTGGTCGTATCTCCCCAGTGCTCACTCGACTCTTCAATGATTTCCTCTCCCACAGCTCCATACCAGAGTCCTGGAAAATGGCCTCGGTAATGCCCCTCCACAAGGGGCATGGCACCCCTAAGTCCGACATCAGCTCTTAGTAGCCAATCTCTACAACTTCCATAGTATGCCGGACAATGAAAAGAGTAATTAATAAACAGCTCCCGAGCCACCTAGAGCTCTCAAACCTCCTCAGCGCCCCCATCAGTACGGCTTTTGC